ATAACTCTGTTCGCAAAAGGTGCGCTTTTGTGAAGAGGGCGCCACCGAATTTTGAGGACACTTTTTTAATTGGCTCAAAGAGAGAAGTGGCCCATCTTGTTATGTAGGCTACTATCTTTGTCTTTACTTACCAAGAGTCAAAAGTCTTTGTGTCATTCCTGCGGGCCTTTGGTTTTTCTGGAGATCACAGTGTCTGGTCAGACTTACCTAGACATGCTAAAGAACTGACTATTTCCTCAATTCGAAAGGGACTCAAACAACAAAGCATACATCAAAGTGATTGCTTAAAACTGATTTGTGTAAATCTTAGATGGAGTGTACTTGCAGGCGCTGATGTGTCTTGTTTTCACTGCTGTTATATTATTATATGTGCCTTGTCCTGTGTGTGCCTTTGTGAACTAATTCATGTGTGGCTGAGAAACATTTTCCCCTTGTGGTTGAACTTTTCTTGCTTATATGAAATGGTTGGGGGGTTCTTTTCTTGTGTGTGAGAGGTTTTTACTCTCCTCGGTAATCATGTCATCAAGATAAAGTGCAAAGGGCGTATACTTGTATGGGATAGAGCGCTATATAAATTGTCGTTACCATTATTGTTATCATTATCATAATCATCATCATTATTATTATCATCATTATCATGCGTGTGTACGTATGCATGTATAGTATGTGTGTATGTGTATGTGTATGTGTGCGTGCGTGCGTGCGTGCGTGCGTGCGTGCGTGCGTGCGTGCGCGCGCGCGCGCGTGTGTGTGCGCGCGCGTGTGTGTGGTGTGTGCGTGAAGTTGCGGTGGACTGGGAGGGGTATGCTAACTCCTTTCATACATTTACTGACCGATATTGATGAGGTGAAAAAGCATATTGTCATTGCAATTTAGTCAGCGAAACGAGCTACACTTGAGACAGTGGGAGTAGAATTCAACAACAGATCTGACTTTGTATGGGAGACAAAAGTATTCACCAAGTTAATGAGAGAAAACGTTTGTGCACATACATGGTTATGAAATCATACAAAATATTTTTTATGAAAGGTTGGATGTCCTTTTATGTCATTTACATGAATTATCATTATTGTTGTAGAGCTTTTGGTGGGGACAGGTGTATCCAGTTCATACTGTATTATTTTTTAATCACCCACAAGAAACATCACTCGTTACTCATGCTATTCTGCGTCTCTGACCCAACCGATTTCATGATTGTTTTTTGTTTTTAAATGTTTCGGTGGGTCGGCGCCAAAGTCCAGAGATATTTAGAACTTCCAGGGAATAGCACAGAAAAGTGGCTTTCTTTCGATAAAAATTTTGGTTATTTTTTACGCTTTTTTTTGGGCCGGTGCTAGCCGCCCGATCTGGGGTGGCTAGGCTAGTGTTTTGCTACTCGAAGAAATTCGGTCGATTAGCCTGACGCTACTGGCCCGTGGTGATTTCTGCGATCTCATGTTCGGTAGCCATTTCGACGTTTTGAACAAATACGAATAATACGATTAAGCCATACTTTACTCCTTAATTCTCCTGTTTTCATGTAAGTACTCCGTGTCGAATTTGTTGGGTCTTTTTTTCTCCCGGGAATAATGCATGAAAGATATGTGCACTCATTTCCTTTCCTTTTAGAATTTGATAATTTAATAATTTACTGATATTATGTTAAGTTGAAATTCTACACCACCAGGGTTCTCAGTTCTTTTTCCAAGTTCAACATTATGTTTTCACTATCTCCCCATTGGGACCATCTCTCCATTTCGTTTTGAAGGAACAAACATTCTAATATTCACGATGTTGTCAGTTTGAGAGCCAGGCAGACAGCACTTCACATCCCGCTCGTGGGTTGCAGCACACACATTAACCCTTTCACTGCCAGACCTAATCCTTCTAACAAGAAAGACAGCGTCTTGCTTGGCCCGAAGAGGTTAAGAGTTTAAGACGCCTGAGACGATTCTAACACTTCTAACAGAAAGTGTCACCTGTAGTTTAGTTCACTATGTTTGTAGTTTGGTTCGATACTGTGAGACACATATCGACTCGATGAAGACTTATGAAGTATAATTTAGTGCTGAAAATAATCAAGACAGAAAAAAACACGAATTAGTAAAAAGGGAAAGAAAAATCGAACACACTCGTGGCTTCCTCGAACCACCCGCACATCTGGCTTTCGATTGATGCCGGTTAAACACGTAATCTCAGTGCTCAAGGAGAAGGCAAAGATTTCAAACATGTCGGTTTATCAAAAATTACTCTGAGCTGTTTATTTTAAAGCGTTTTTATGCAATAAAGGTTATAATTTCTAATTCAATAACCAATTGTTTGTTTTCGTTGTTTTATAAACCTCTTCCTATCAGCGAGATTCCCTGGCAGGGTGGCCTATATCAGCTCACAAACCAGGGCCGTGGGTGGTAGGCGGGTGCTCTGGTGTGGTTTGCTTCTTTTTTCCTATCAAACATCTATCGTCCTTTTCTCCCCTCCTTTTTTATTTTGTTACTCTCTTGTAAACCTCTAATCTTCTGGCGCTCATATGACCTTATGCAGTTGCGAGGGCCGTAAAACCTCTACTAAAACAAAACAAACCAGGGCCCTTGAAACACGTACATTGTATTTGTCTAGAACTCACACTTTTCCTCGCAGTGTCTTGATCCAGTTGATGACACTACGTGGGTAGCTGATGGGTATAGTTTATCCCTTTTCCATATCAAACGACTATCGTCCTTCTCTTTCCTGCTTAATTAATTCTTTCTCGAGTTTGTTACTCTTTTGTAGCACCTCTCATCTTCGGCACTTATAACCCAAAACTTATTGTGTTGCAAGTGCCGTAAAACGCTTA